GGTATACATATTTTATACACAGACACACACAGACACACACACGCACACACACGCACACGCACACGCACACGCACACGCAACGCGCGCGCGCGCGCGCGCGCGCGTGTGTGTGTGTGTGTGTAAAATATGTACAAAAAATGCAATTACATAAATAATCAAACTCTCATTAGCCTCCCACATTAAATCAGCATTATTAAACAAAATTTAATAATACTCCGCAAAACATTAATTATATTTTACGTCTTGTAATATATAATATATTTATTCGAATCTTAATATTTTACAATCGAAAAGTACGACATTACGTCAGACATGAAAATAACAGATATTGAAATAATTTCAAGTATTTTAATAGTATATAATAATTTTTTCCTCTCGCGAAGCTGAAAGCATTTCTAGTGGCAATAATCACGATATTTTACCAAGAATGGATATTTAAATTTTCATGAGTTTTTAATTGCTCAGCAACGTAACGATCGTTAACAGAGACTAAATGCTCTACGAGCTGCATCGTAATAAATAGACACGAAGGAAACGATTCTGTCCCAATATTTAATAAATTAACGGTGCTGATTCGGTGGCTTTGTAGGATTTTCAAGGTGGGCTTTACTTCATATACGACGGGATTGCGTACGCTCAACGTGCTTTGTCTCTCTCTTTCTATTCGCGAGCACTCTCGAATTAATTACGGGATCCCTCTCATTTACGCAGTTATTATGAACCTTACCCTAAGATCATTACTGAATTACCTGGAGAGCTTCGGCTTCCTGTACCTGTCTACACGCGTATCTAATATATACACTATATATCGGTAGTTTGGAAGTACACATGCCTGTCCATTTTCCCGATCAACATAAATATTTATGAGAACCAAAAATAAAAGGAAAGATGCATTATTTGTGTAAGAAGGGCATAAATTCGCGCAAAATTCATTCAATACAAAATCATAACTCACAGCATACATCTTTGCGTCATTTTTTATATCATTTTTTATTAATATGTTATAAAATTTATAAACGAATTACGCTATTTAAATCACGCAATACTTATAAAAATTTAAATCGAGACCTTCAGTTTTGCATTCCAATTAAACCACGCGAGCTTTCAATTAAAGATGCAACACCAATAATATCGATGTATAAAAACTTGTAATTTTCAAAACAAGTATTGATTGCTGACAGATTAAAATAGATTTGACTCCAATTAAGCGACATTGTTGGTTTGTGTATGATACTTCTTTTCATTCTTCTTCGTGCAACACGTGAATGTTTTCGTTTCACCTCGGGCGATTGCTAAAAACCGATGTGCAAAAATAGGATTTCCTCCATCGTTCGCATATTCCGCCTCTTTCCTACTTGATGTCATTGCGTCACGTCGAAGCGAAAAGTTTTATATCGGATTTAACGTCATCTCAGCGACGGTAGCGTCGACGAGCGAAATTTGGTTTTCAATACAAAACGGGCCTCGGCAGGAATAGCAGGTGCGTCGATAGAGAGAAAAACGGAAGGGGCAGTCGTGGGAAAGTCAGCAAGCATTCACAGCACTCAAGCTCGGTTTATCCAGAGGAATGGTATCGAGTATCCGTTGTACCGTTCTCTCCGTTTAAACGTAGTCGGTATTCCATTCTTTGAGAGTCCATGGAGTTTCTCTGATATTTCTTAAAGTAGTCACTACCGTGATAGATCCTGTATGCCCGGTTTATCCCGTTACTTTTCTCAGAGTTTCCTTCACATATATCATAAGGTTCACGATAATCCGAAGGAAACAACGCGAAAAATGCAGTTTTGGAAATCGGGCCCGCATTTATGTGTGTTTCGCATTTTACATCCGTTACTTTCAATATTGAAATATCGGTCAATGGAATAGTACCGAAAGGATGTTGATTACTCAGCTACATATTTTTGAAGTTTATACATATATCATATTGCGAAAATTTCAGTACATGTTCGACGATTTTTCAAGTTTAATCCATATAGTTA